CCACATCACTGCCAGTGCCACATCACTGCCAGTGCCACATCACTGCCAGTGCCACCAATCTGTGGCTCACTATCTTGTCAATATACCCGGCAATATCTCTAAGCGAAGCTCTTTATTTGTGACCTCTAACATTGTTGTTGTTATTATTATTATTATTATTATTATTATTAGTTCAGTCATAGGAAAGTACTGTCCAATAATAATAAATAAATGTGAAACACAATAATAATAATAATAATAATTGTAATAATAATAATAGGTCATGTAATCCCTGGGAAATCGACGGTAGTGGTGTTTGATCCGAGGTGCACATAACTCTCCTTGGATCAGAAACCTCTGTTTCCTTGGATCAGAAACCTCCTTCCTGGCACGTATGAGGAAGGTAGGAAGGGCATTCTTGTTTTTTCCAAGTGGTGAGGGCCATTCTTTCTCTCCCCTTTTCTTTTCCTCCTCTCTCTCTCTCTCTCTCTCTCTCTCTCTCTCTCTCTCTCTCTCTCTCTCTCTCTCTCTCACGTTGTCATAATCAAAGCTGAATTTTATATTAGCTTAATCGGTCTCTCCTTCCTTATCCTTACATTTTTCCTCTCTCTTTAAACATTTCCTGTTACCTTCTTTTCCCGTGTTGTTTCTCATAATTTCCTTATTCCCCCTTGTACCTTCGTTTCCTTCCTTATACCTACCTTCATCCCCATTATATATACCGTCCTTTACCCATCCCGTTTTATACCTTCATTATACTTTCTACGTCACTTCCTTATAGCTGCATTTTACATCTTGTCTTCTCCTTCATAAAAAGTTTTGTCATTCCCTCGCGCATACAAAGTTCCATCAATTTTTTTTATGTCAGGTCTTTGACATCTTACGTCCTGGGGTCACCAGAGTGAGCCAGGTCCTCGAGAAACCTGCACACTGAGGCCCATTCGTGTTTAGCGCTTTCTGGTGGACGTAAGAGCGCTCTTGGGAAGCTTTGCAAGTCGAGCCTTCATACACAGGTGTTCATTACGGCTTTTTTGAGGTAGTTGTGACTTTAGTCGACGTTTTTTGAGGTGGTTGTGGCGTTAGTCACGGTTTTTGATGTGGTTGTGGCGTTAGTGATGGTCTTTGAGGTGGTTGTGGCGTTAGTCACGGTTTTTCAGGTGGTTGTGGCGTTAGTTACGGTTTTTTGAGGTGGTTGAGGCGTTAGTTACGGTTTTTGAGGTGGTTGAGGCGTTAGTTACGGTTTTTTGAGGTGGTTGAGGCGTTAGTTACGGTTTTTGAGGTGGTTGAGGCGTTAGTTACGGTTTTTTGAGGTGGTTGAGGCGTTAGTTACGGTTTTTGAGGTGGTTGAGGCGTTAGTTACGGTTTTTGAGGTGGTTGAGGCGTTAGTTACGGTTTTTGAGGTGCTTGTGGCGTTAGTGATGGTTTTTCAGGTGGTTGTGGGGTTAGTGATGATTTTTGAGGTGGTTGTGGGGTTAGTGATGGTTTTTTGAGGTGGTTGTGGGGTTAGTGATGGTTTTTTGAGGTGGTTGTGGCGTTCGTCACGGTTTTTGAGGTGGTTGTGTCGTTCCTGGTGGTTTTTGAGGTGGTTGCGGCATTAGTCACGGTTTTTTAGGTGTGGTTGTGGCGTTAGTTACGGTTTTTTGAGGTGGTTGTGACGTTAGTGATGGTTTTTGAGGTGGTTGTGGAGTTAGTCACGGTTTATTGAGGTGGTTGTGGCGTTAGTCACGGTTTATTGAGGTGGTTGTGGCGTTCGTGCTGCTGCTGTTGCTGCTACTGCTATTGTTGTTACCGCTGCTGCTGCTGGTGTTGTTGTTGCACATCTGCTTGAGATACTGCAGATCACGACCTCTGCAATGCATGAGCCATCGTGACATGAAGTATTCTCCACAGCTGAGAAACCTCACTGGCTGGCTGAATGGCTAACAGCCTAAATGGCAGGCTGACTGGAAGGCTGGCAGCCTGAATGGCAGGCTGGCTGGCAGTCTGGCAGTCTGACTGGCAGGCTGAATGGCTGGCTGACTGGCTGGACTGCAGACTGGCTGACGGGCTGGCCTGCAGGCTGAATGGCTGATAAGCTGGCCTGCAGGCTGGCTGGCTAATAGGGTGGCCTGCAGGCTGGCTGACTGACAGGCTGGTCTGCAGGCTGGCTGGCTGACAGGTTGGCTTGCAGGCTGGCTGGCTGGCTGGATGGATGGCTCGCTGGCTGGCTGGTTGGCTGAATTTCAGACTGGCTGGTGCAGTGTATGCACAGTGACCCAGTGTGTGCACAGTGACCCAGTGTGTGCATAGTGACCCAGTGTGTGCACAGTGACCCAGTGTGTGCACAATGACGCAGTTATGGAACCCCTAGACTTACGTAACACTGAAACCTTACACTGGAACTCCTTACGTCAAATTAGAACCTGTGAACCCTTAACGTCACATTAAAACCTTACACTGTGAAACCCTAGACTTAATCAGAAGATAGTACTAGGACAGCGTGAGGGAATACAGTACTAAACTTGTGTTGTATACAAGATAA